AACCCTTTCCCACTAACCCCCCATCCCTTTTTTCCCAACCCCCCCCTTCCTACCAACCCCCCTTTCCCCCTTTCCCACCCAAACCCAAAAAACCCTTTACAACTCAACCCCTTCCACTCAACCCCACCTTTTTTACTAACCCCCCTTCCCTAATAAAACCCCAACCTTCCCCCCCGCCCAAATAACCCACCTTAAAATTTCCATAACCCCTTTTCAAATAACCCACCTTCCCACTAACCCACCTTTCCCCCCCAAACCCACCTTCCTAACCCCCCTAACCCAAAACCCCCCCTTTCCCACTAACCTTTTCCCCCAAACCATCCCTTTACTAACCCACCTTTCCCATTTAAAACCCCCTTTCCACTAAACCCCCCCCCAAAAAACACCCCCTTCCCATTTAAACCCCCCCTTTCCACAACCCACCTTCCTCCCAACCCCAAACCCCCTCCTAACCCCTTCCTCATAACCCCCCCTAACCAAAAACCCCCTTTCCAAATAAAACCCCCCCCTACAAACCCCCCATCCTACAAACCCCCTTCCCAAATAAAACCCCCCTTTCCCACAAAAAACCCCTTTCCCACCTTTCCCCACCTTTTTTACTAACTCACCCCTTCAAACCCACCTTTCCCACAAAAAACCCCCCCCTTCCCACAACCCACCTTCCCAATATAAACCCCCCTTCCACACCCCCACCTTCCTACTTTAACCCCCCCTTTTTCTACTAACCCCCCCTCTTCCAAATAACCCCCCCCTTTCCCCCACTAACCCCCTTTCCCTAACCCCCATTTCCCACTAACCCACCTTTCCCACTAACCCAACCCCTTTCCCATTAAACCAACCTTCCCAAAATCACCCCCTTTTCCCACTAAAACCATTTTTTCTAAAACCCCCTTTCCCCACTAACCCAACTTCCCCTAACCCACCCTTCCAAAACCTTTTAAAAACCCCCCCCCAAAAAACCCCCCCCCCCCCTTCCCAATCCCCCCCAACCCCCCCCCCTTTTTTAAAAAATTTTTTTTCCCCCCCCTTTAAAAACCCCCCAAACCCCCCCCAACCCCTTCCCAAAACCCCCCCCCCTTTTTTTAAAACCCCCCTTAAAAAACCCCCCCCCCCCCCCAAAAAAAAACCCCCCCAAAAAAAAAAAAATTTTTTAAAAAACCCCTTTTTAATTTTTTAAAAAACCTTTAAAAAACCCCCCCTAAACCCCCCTTTTTTCCCCTTTTAAAAAACCCCCCCCCTTTTTTCCCGGTTTAAAAAATCCTTTAAAAAAAAAATTTTTTTTTCCCCCCCCCCCCCTTTGGGGGCCCCCCCCCCCCCCAAAAAAAAAAAAAAATTTCCCCCCTTTTTTAAACCCCTTCCCCCCCCCCCCCCAAAAAAACCCCCCCCACCCCCCTTTTTTAAAACCCCCCCCCCCTTTTTTAAAAAAACCCCCCCCCCCCCCTTAAAAAAAACCCCCCCCCCCAAAACCCCCCCCCCCCAAATTAAAAAACCCCCCCCCCCACCAAAACCCCCTAACCCCCTTTTCCCCCCCCCCCCCCCCCCCCCCCCCCAAAAGGGAACCCCTTCCCCCAAACCCAAATTTCCCCCCCCCCCAAAAAAAACCCCCCAAAACCCCCCCCCCTTCCCTTTTCCCCCCTTAAAACCCCCTAAAAAACCCCCTACTAAACCCCCCCCCAAAAAACCCCCCCCCCCCTTAACCCCCCCCCCCCAACCCCCCAAAAATTAAAAAAAACCCCCCCCCCCCCTTTTCCCCCCCACTAAAAACCCCCTTCCCCCCCCCAAAAGAACCCCCTTTCCCCCAAAAAAAACCCCCCCCCAAAAAAAAACCCCCCAAACCCCCCCCCTTTAAAACCCCCCCCCAAAAACCCTTTTAAAAAAATTTTTTTTTCCAAAAAAAAACCCCCCCCCCCCCTTCCCCCCCCTTTCCAAAAACCCCCCCCCCCACCCCCCAAACCCCCCTTTTTTTCCCCCCCCCCCCCCCCAAACCAACCCCCTTTAAAAAAAATTTCCCACTAACCCACCTTTTTCCCCCCCCCCCCCCCCCCCCCCCAACTTCCCCCCCCCCCCCCCAAATTTTTTCCCCCCCCTTTTTTTTCCCCCCCCCCCCAAAAACCCCTTCCAAAAACCCCTTTTTCCCAAAACCCCCCTTTATAAAACCCCCTTTTTAAAACCCCTTTTTTTAACCCCCCATCCCTTTCCCCCCCTTTTTTTTTTAAAAAAAAAACCCCTTTCCCCCCCATTTAAAAAACCCCCCCCAAAAAAAACCCCCCTTTTTAAAAAAAAAATTTCCCCCCCAAAAATTTTTTTTTTCCCCCCCCCCCAAAACCACCCCCCCAAAAAAAAAAAAATTTTTTTTTCCCCCCCCAAAAAAATTTTTTCCCCCAAAACCCCACCCCCCCCAAAAACCCCCCCTTTTTCCCCCCAAAAAAACCCCCCCCAAAAAACCCCCCCTTTTCCCCCCAATAAACCCCAAAAACCCCTTTTTAAAAAAAATTTTTTAAAAAAATTTTTTTTTTTAAAAAAAAAAAAACCCCCCCCCCCAAAAACCCCCCAAAAAAACCCCCCCAAAACCCCCCCACCCCAAAAAACCCCCCCCCCAAAAAAAATTTTCCCCCCCCCCTTTTCCCCCCCCCTTTAAAACCCCCCCCCCCCCCCCAAAAAAAAAAAAACCCCCCCCCCCACCCTAACCCAAACCCCCCCCCCCCCCCCCCCCCAAAAAAACCTTTTAAAAAACCCCTAAAAAACCCCCCCCCCCCTAAAACCCCCCCCAAAAAAAACCCCCCAAAAATAAAAAACCCCCCAAAAAACCCCCCCAAAAAAACCCCCCCCCCAAAAAAAAACTCCCCCCCAAAAAACCCCCCCCCCCCCCCCCCCCCCCCCCCCCCCCCCAACCAACCCCCCCCCAAAAAAACCCCCCCCCCCCAACCCCCCAACCCCCCTTTCCCACCCCCCCAACCCCCAAAAAAAACCCCCCCCCCCCCCAAAACCCCCCCCTTTAAAACCCCCCAACCCCCCCCAAACCCCCCCAAAAACCCCCTTTTTTAAAAAACCCCCCCCCCCCCTTTCCCCCCCCCCCCCCCCCCCCCAAACCCCCCCCTAAAACCCACCTTTCCCCAAAAAAACCCCAACCAAAAACCCCCCCCCCCCAAAACCCCCCCCCCCCCCCCTTTAACCAAAACCCCCAAACCCCCCCCCAACCCAAACCCCCCCCCCCAAACCCCCCCACCCCCAACCCCCCCCCCCCCCAAACCCCCCCTTTTTTCCCAACCCCCCCCCCCCCAAAACCCCCCTTTTCCCCCCCCCCCCCAACCCCCCCCCACCCCCCCCCCCCTTTTAAAAAAAAAAAAAAAAACCCCCCCCCCCCCCCCAAAAACCCCCCCCCCAAAAAAAAAAATTCCCCCCCCCCCCAAAACCCCCCCCAAAAAAACCCCCCCCCCAAAAAAAAACCCCCCCCCAAAACCCCCCCCCAAATTTAAAACCCCCCCAAAAAAACCCCCCCCAAAAACCCCCCCCCCAAAAAAAAAAAACCCCCCCCCTTAAACCCCCCCCCCCCCTTTTCCCCCACCTTCCCAAAACCCCCCCCCCCTTTAAAAACCCCCCCCCCCCCCTCCCCCCCCTTTTTTAAAACCCCCCCTTCCCAAAAAAACCCCCCTTCCCAAAAAACCCCCCCCCCTACCCCCCCCCCCCCCCAAAAACCCCCCCCCCCCCCCAACCCCCCCCAAAAAAAACCCCCCCCCCCCCCTTTCCCCCCCCCCTTTTTTTCCCCCCCCCCCCCCTTCCCCCCCCAAAATTTCCCCCCCTTTCCCCCCAACCCCCCCCCTTTCCCAAAAAAAAAACCCCCCAAAAAAACCCCAAAAAACCCCCCCCCCAAAAAAAAAAACCCCCCCCCCCTTTCCAAAAATTTCCCCCCCCCCCCCCCCCCAAAAAAAATTTTTTCCCCCCCCTTTCCCCCCACCCCCCCCTTTTCCCCCCTTTTTAAAACCCCCCCCAAAAACCCCCCTTTTAGTTTATAACGCTGTTAATTTAACTACCTCACCTTATCGCAGTCCTCGTTACCAACTATTTACAATCTTTATTTCGTGTCAAGTGATTTACTTGGATTGTGTAGTGTTGCACAGGGAACACAGGTAACACAAGAGTGTTACCTGTGACTCAGCACTGGAGGGATGTCCTCCCCAGTGATGTAGCTATCAGCCGCGAGGAAGCAAACTTGACTCTTAGTAGGGAAGATCCGTGTCAGACGTTACACCTGGGGTTGCTAATTTCTAAGTCAGGTACCAAGGTAGCCGGGGAACGCTTGCAAAGGCAAAGAAAGAGGCCTTTGAATTCCAAAGGAAAATTGACAGAAGGTTTCAAGATTGGTAGACAGCAGCTGTCAAGGAAGGCACTGCCGTCCTGCAAGATATGTGTGAAGTGAAAGCGATGTTAAATTTTTGGCTCTCTGGCAGGATTTCTAATCTGTTATCTTTCTGCCTCACGAACACATAAGATGACAGGTGAATCTCACAAACTTGTACCAATATTCACTATGCACATATATTCAAAATTCTCTAATATTTCTTTCCCAACCTTGAAGGCTGAGTCTGAGACAGTGTCGTGAGGAACACCATTCACAAGACTAGACCGGACAGTGAGGCGACTGAGTAGGTTAGTCAGCAAGTGTTGTAGTCGGACAGGTGACTGATTTCAACATCAGTGCAGTAGTCAGAAAGGTACCTGAGTCCAGCATCAGTGCAGTAGTCAGACAGGTACCTAAGTCCAGCGTCAGTGCAGTGGTCAGACAGGTACCTGAGTCCAGCATCAGTGCAGTAGTCAGACAGGTTCCTAAGTCCAGCGTCAGTGCAGTGGTCAGACAGGTACCTGAGTCCAGCATCAGTGCAGTAGTCAGAAAGGTACCTGAGTCCAGCATCAGTGCAGTGGTCAGACAGTTACCTGAGTCAAGCATCAGTGCAGTAGTCAGAAAGGTACCTGAGTCCAGCATCAGTGCAGTGGTCAGACAGTTACCAGAGTCCAGCATCAGTGCAGTAGTCAGAAAGGTACCTGAGTCCAGCATCAGTGCAGTGGTCAGACAGGTACCTGAGTCCAGCATCAGTGCAGTGGTCAGACAGGTACCTGAGTCCAGCATCAGTGCAGTGGTCAGACAGGTACCTGAGTCAAGCATCAGTGAAGTAGTCAGAAAGGTACCTGAGTCCAGCATCAGTGCAGTGGTCAGACAGGTACCTGAGTCCAGCATCAGTGCAGTAGTCAGACAGGTACCTGACCCCAGGTATATTGAATATTCTGGGCCACAGAACGACTTAATCGAGACAGGAACGTAACAAGAACGACAGTTCATTGTCGTTCTTCACAGTTAAAGAGCCTAAAAGGAAGATATCCTGGAGTATCCCAAGAAATAAGCGTCAACATTGCACTCACTCGAGTGGATATGTGGATTACGTTGCAGAACTCACCGTGTGGAACACATGCAGGTGTCAGGCTCCATCTCCTCCTCCTGGAGGACACCTGAGGGAAGACACAGGTATTAAGTAGTCTCACAAACACATATATTGTCTTGATGTCTGGCAAGACTGCGAGGTGACTCACAGTGCAGCCGTGATGCTGTTATCACCGGTAAGATAACCTGGTGGCCCAGTGGACAGGATCACGGTTCGAGTCCCGTGCTGTCTTCTTTTTATTCAGACATATATATATATATATATATATATATATATATATATATATATATATATATATATATATATATATATATATATATATATATATATATATATTATATATTATATATATATATATATATATATTTTATATATATATTATATACATAATATATGATAAATTTGTACAGTGCAGTTTCTGAGTGACAAGTCAACTAACCGCAGCTGCACCAGCTACACCAGCTGCTCCAGCTGCTCCAGCTGCTCCAGCTGCTCCAGTGGCACCTTCAGTGAAATTACCTGCCAGGTGAGGTCTCTCACATCAGGAGACACCATCTCTCCACGTTGACAACACCTCAAAATAAACACGAGATAACAGCCGGAGATTCACGGCAAGATAACAACACTTCAAGATAACTTTGCAATAATATAAATTACATTAGACAACAAATTTTAATTTTTCATAGAATTAATTAAGAAAGTAAAATGCTTGTTATCAGTTAACAAAGATACGCTGATCACAAATCTAAACGTCTTTATCAGCGTTTTAGCTGTTTAAGTTTTAAGAACCACAGGAAGTGCGGAGTTACTAGGAGGAGCAACTGGTGAGGTGGTTTGGACATTTAGAAAGGATGGAGTGAAATATGATGACTTGGAGGTTGTTTAAAGGTGTAGTGGAGGAAAGGGGAGTTGGGGTGGTAGGGGTTGTTCTAGGATAGGTTGGAGGGAGGGGGTACCTGGATACCTGGAGGGTATCCAGGAGGTTTTGTACGAGAGAGGTTTGGACATCCAGCAGGCTTTCTTGTATATGTTAGACAGGAGTGAGTGGAGGCAAGTGGTTTCTGTGACGACGTGCTGTAGGAGTGTAAACAAGATAACTGTACATATATATACATATATATATATATATATATATATATATATATATATATTATATATATATATATATATATATATATATATATATATAATATATATATATATATATATATATATATATTATATATATATATATATATATATATATATATATATATATATATATATATATATATATATATATATATATATATTATATATATATATATATATATGCAACACTCTTCAACGTCAACTGATAACATTGTTGATCAGCGTTACTAACGAGATGTTGTTATAGTTATTAATGAACAATTGACAGTAAATAAACAGGAGACTGAAGCGGGGAATCGAACCGAGGTTCACTTGGTCAGCGCGGGTACAGTGGTCAACCTACCACAAGCACTGACCACTGTTCGAATCCCGGCCCACTTTCATTTTACAATTGTTTGTTTAAATCTCCCTATAAAAGGGATTCAGAGGAGATTTAAGAGGTTTCAATCCGACCTGTTAACAGGTTCACGTGGAACCTTCATCTGTTTACACTAACGAAATTTCACTAACGTGTCAGCGTTATCAAGTTTATCTGATAACAGGTAATGATATTTTGTGTGTCCCTCCGTTGACATTCAGTAGTCAACAGTAGCAACAGCCTAGACAACAGCAGCATCAATGCGTGCAACACCTGCAACAGTAGCAGCAGCAACAGTCCAAGGAGTAACAGTAGCAGCAACAGGAACAGAAACACCTACAACAGCGACAAGATCAGTGTTGCAAAACCATTCGTAACAGCAATAACAGCAATAACAGCAGTATGAAAAAAGTAAAAAAAAAACAGTAGCGGCAGCACCATCAACATTAACAGCAGCAGCAGCAGCAGCAACAGCAACAGCAGCAACAGCTACAGCAGCAGCAGTTACAGTTAGAGCAACAGCAGCTACAACAGCAACAGCAGCAACAGCAACACAAACAGCAGCAACAGCTACAGCAGCAGAAACAGCAGCAGCAGCTACAGCAGTAGCAGCAGTAGCAGCTACAACAGCAACAACAGCAACAGCAGCACAAACAGCAGCAACAGCTACAGCAGCAGCAACAGCAGCAGCAGCAGCAACAGCAAAATTAAAGAGATGCTGCAGAGCCAGTCACAGCAGCGGCAACAGAAGAACAGAAACAATAACAGCAAATACAACAACAGCAGCTACTGTAACGACAGCAACTAGAACAACAGCAACTGCTGCAACAACAGCTACCTCAACAACAGTAAATATAACAGTAGCTGCAGTAAAAGGTCTCCAACAACAGCAGTTTCAACAACAGCTGCTGCAGTAACAGCAATTTCAACAACAGCAAATATAACAACAGCTGCTGTAATGACAACTAAACAACAACAGCTGCTGCAACAACAGCACCTTCAACAACAGCAAATACAACAGCTGCAGCTGCAACAACAGCAATTACGACAACAGCAACTACAACAACAGCAGCTGTTGCAACAACAGCAACTACAACAGCAACAGCAACTTCAACAGTAACGATAACAACAGCAGCAGCTGCAACAACAGCTGCTCCAACAACAGTACAAGTTTCCCCAAAATTCAAAGAACGCCGAGAATATTTATGTCTTCCTCTAAACTTGACACTCAGCCACACAGAACCTGAGTGACACGACCAAACTTGACACTCAGTCACTCAGAACCTGAGTGACACGACCAAACTTGACACTCAGCCACACAGAACCTGAGTAACACGACCAAACTTGACACTCAGTCACTCAGAACCTGAGTGACACGACCAAACTTGACACTCAGCCACACAGAACCTGAGTAACACGACCAAACTTGACACTCAGTCACTCAGAACCTGAGTGACACGACCAAACTTGACCCTCAGCCACTCAGAACCTGAGTAACACGACCAAACTTGACCCTCAGCCACTCAGAACCTGAGTGACACGACCAAACTTGACACTCAGCCACTCAGAACCTGAGTGACACGACCAAACTTGACCCTCAGCCACTCAGAACCTGAGTGACACGACCAAACTTGACCCTCAGCCACTCAGAACCTGAGTAACACGACCAAACTTGACACTCAGCCACTCAGAACCTGAGTAACACGACCAAACTTGACCCTCAGCCACTCAGAACCTGAGTAACACGACCAAACTTGACCCTTAGCCACTCAGAACCTGAGTAACACGACCAAACTTGACACTCAGCCACTCAGAACCTGAGTAACACGACCAAACATGACACTCAGCCACTCAGAACCTGAGTAACACGACCAAACTTGACCCTTAGCCACTCAGAACCTGAGTAACACGACCAAACTTGACACTCAGCAACTCAGAACCTGAGTAACACGACCAAACTTGACACTCAGCCACTCAGAACCTGAGTAACACGACCAAACTTGACACTCAGCCACTCAGAACCTGAATAACACGACCAAACTTGACACTCAGTCACTCAGAACCTGAGTAACACGACCAAATTTGACACTCAGCCACTCAGAACCTGAATAACACGACCAAACTTGACACTCAGCCACTCAGACCCTGAGTAACACGACCAAACTTGACACTCAGCCACTCAGAACCTGAATAACACGACCAAACGTGACACTCAGCCACTCAGAACCTGAGTAACACGACCAAACTTGACACTCAGCCATTCAGAACCTGAGTAACTCGACCAAACTTGACACTCAGCCACTCAGAACCTGACTAACACGACCAAACTTGACACTCAGCCACTCAGAACCTGAATAACACGACCAAACTTGACACTCAGCCACTCAGACCCTGAGTAACACGACCAAACTTGACACTCAGCCACTCAGAACCTGAATAACACGACCAAACGTGACACTCAGCCACTCAGAACCTGAGTAACACGACCAAACTTGACACTCAGCCACTTAGAACCTGAGTGACACGACCAAACTTGACACTCAGCCATTCAGAACCTGAGTAACTCGACCAAACTTGACACTCAGCCACTCAGAACCTGAGTGACACGACCAAACTTGACACTCAGCCACTCAGAACCTGAATAACACGACCAAACTTGACACTCAGCCACTCAGAACCTGAGTAACACGATCAAACTTGACACTCAGCCACTCAGAACCTGAGTAACACGACCAAACTTGACACTCAGCCACTCAGAACCTGAGTAACACGACCAAACTTGACACTCAGCCACTCAGAACCTGAATAACACGACCAAACTTGACACTCAGTCACTCAGAACCTGAGTAACACGACCAAACTTGACACTCAGCCACTCAGAACCTGAATAACACGACCAAACTTGACACTCAAGCCATTCAGACCCTGAGTAAACACGACCAAACTTGACACTCAGCCACTCAGAACCTGAATAACACGACCAAACGTGACACTCAGCCACTCAGAACCTGAGTAACACGACCAAACTTGACACTCAGCCATTCAGAACCTGAGTAACTCGACCAAACTTGACACTCAGCCACTCAGAACCTGACTAACACGACCAAACTTGACACTCAGCCACTCAGAACCTGAATAACACGACCAAACTTGACACTCAGCCACTCAGACCCTGAGTAACACGACCAAAAATTGACACTCAGCCACTCAGAACCTGAATAACACGACCAAACGTGACACTCAGCCACTCAGAACCTGAGTAACACGACCAAACTTGACACTCAGCCACTTAGAACCTGAGTGACACGACCAAACTTGACACTCAGCCATTCAGAACCTGAGTAACTCGACCAAACTTGACACTCAGCCACTCAGAACCTGAGTGACACGACCAAACTTGACACTCAGCCACTCAGAACCTGAATAACACGACCAAACTTGACACTCAGCCACTCAGAACCTGAGTAACACGATCAAACTTGACACTCAGCCACTCAGAACCTGAGTGACACGACCAAACTTGACACTCAGCCACTCAGAACCTAAGTAACACGACCAAACTTGACACTCAGCCACTCAGAACCTGAATAACACGACCAAACTTGACACTCAGCCACTCAGAACCTGAGTGACACGACCAAACTTGACACTCAGCCACTCATAACCTGAATAACACGACCAAACTTGACACTCAGCCACTCAGAACCTGAATAACACGAACAAACTTGACACTCAGCCACTCAGAACCTGATAACACGACCAAACTTGACACTTAGCCACTCAGAACCTGATGTAACACGACCAAACTTGACACTCAGCCCACTCAGAACCTGAGTACACGACCAACTGACACTCAGCCACTCAGAACCTGAGTAACACGACCAAACTTGACACTCAGCCACTCAGAACCTGAGTAACACGACCAAACTTGACACTCAGCCACTCAGAACCTGAATAACACGACCAAACTTGACACTCAGCCACTCAGAACCTGAGTAACACGACCAAACTTGACACTCAGCCACTCAGAACCTGAATAACACGACCAAACTTGACACTCAGCCACTCGAGAACCTGAATAACACGACCAAACTTGACACTCAGCCACTCAGAACTGAGTAACACGACCAAACTTGACACTCAGCCACTCAGAACCTGAGTAACACGACCAAACTTGACACTCAGCCACTCAGAAACCTGAATAACACGACCAAACTTGACACTCAGCCACTCAGAACCTGAGTAACACGACCAAACTTGACACTCAGCCACTCAGAACCTGAATAACACGACCAAAACTTGACACTCAGCCACTCAGAACCTGAATAACACGACCAAACTTGACACTCAGCCACTCAGAACCTGAGTAACACGACCAAACTTGACACTCAGCCACTCAGAACCTGAGTAACACGACCAAACTTGACACTCAGCCACTCAGAACCTGAGTAACACGACCAAACTTGACACTCAGCCACTCGGAACCTGAGTGACACGGCCAAACTTGACCCTCAGCCACTCAGAACCTGAGTAACACGACCAAACTTGACACTCAGCCACTCAGAACCTGAACAACACGACCAAACTTGACACTCAGCCACTCAGAACCTGAATAACACGACCAAACTTGACACTCAGCCACTCAGAACCTGAGTAACACGACCAAACTTGACACTCAACCACTCAGAACCTGTGTAACACGACCAAACTTGACACTCAGCCACTCAGAACCTGAATAACACGACCAAACTTAACACTCAGCCACTCAGAACCTGAGTGACACGACCAAACTTGACACTCAGCCACTCAGAACCTGAGCAACACGACCAAACTTGACACTCAGCCACTCAGAACCTGAGTGACACGACCAAACTTGATACTCAGCCACTCAGAACTTGAGTGATACGACCAAACTTGACACTCAGCCACTCAGAACCTGACTGACACGACCAAACTTGACACTCAGCCACTCAGAACCTGAGTAACACGACCAAACTTGACACTCAGCCACTCAGAACCTTAGTGACACGACCAAACTTGACACTCAGCCACTCAGAACCTGAGTGACACGACCAAACTTGACACTCAGCCACTCAGAACCTGAGTAACACGACCAAACTTGACACTCAGCCACTCAGAACCTGAGTGACACGACCAAACTTGACACTCAGCCAACTCAGAACCTGAGTAACACGACCAAACTTGACACTCAGCCACTCAGAACCTGAGTAACACGACCAAACTTGACACTCAGCCACTCAGAACCTGAGTAACACGACCAAACTTGACACTCAGGCACTCAGAACCTGAGTAACACCACCAAACTTGACACTCAGCCACTCAGAACCTGAATAACACGACCAAACTTGACACTCAGCCACTCAGAACCTGAGTAACACGACCAAACTTGACATCAGCCACTCAGAACCTGAATAACACGACCAAACTTGACACTCAGCCACTCAGAACCTGAATAACACGACCAAACTTGACACTTAGCCACTCAGAACCTGAATAACACGACCAAACTTGACACTCAGCCACTCAGAGCCTGAGTAACACGACCAAACTTGACACTCAGCCACTCAGAACCTGAATAACACGACCAAACTTGACACTCGCCACTCAGAACCTGAATTAACACGACCAAACTTGACACTCAGCCACTCAGAACCTGAGTAACACGACCAAACTTGACACTCAGCCACTCAGAACCTGAGTAACACGACCAAACTTGACACTCAGCCACTCAGAACCTGAGTAACACGACCAAACTTGACACTCAGCCACTCGGAAACCTGAGTGACACGGCCAAACTTGACCCTCAGCCACTCAGAACCTGAGTAACACGACCAAACTTGACACTCAGCCACTCAGAACCTAAACAACACGACCAAACTTGACACTCAGCCACTCAGAACCTGAATAACACGACCAAACTTGACACTCAGCCACTCAGAACCTGAGTATAACACGACCAAACTTGACACTCAACCACTCAGAAACCTGTGTAACACGACCAAACTTGACACTCAGCCACTCAGAACCTGAATAACACGACCAAACTTAACACTCAGAACCTGAGTGACACGACCAAACTTGACACTCAGCCACTCAGAACCTGAGCAACACGACCAAACTTGACACTCCAGCCACTCAGAACCTGAGTGACACGACCAAACTTGATACTCAGCCACTCAGAACTTGAGTGATACGACCAAACTTGACCACTCAGCCACTCAGAACCTGACTGACACGACCAAAACTTGACACTCAGCCACTCAGAACCTGAGTAACACGACCAAACTTGACACTCAGCCACTCAGAACCTTAGTGACACGACCAAACTTGACACTCAGCCACTCAGAACCTGAGTGACACGACCAAACTTGACACTCAGCCACTCAGAACCTGAGTAACACGACCAAACTTGACACTCAGCCACTCAGAACCTGAGTGACACGACCAAACTTGACACTCAGCCACTCAGAACCTGAGTAACACGACCAAACTTGACACTCAGCCACTCAGAACCTGAGTAACACGACCAAACTTGACACTCAGCCACTCAGAACCTGAGTGACACGACCAAACTTGACACTCAGCCACTCAGAACCTGAATAACACGACCAAACTTGACACTCAGCCACTCAGAACCTGAGTAACACGACCAAACTTGACACTCAGCCACTCAGAACCTGAGTAACACGACCAAACTTGACACTCAGCCACTCAGAACCTGAGTGACACGACCAAACTTGACACTCAGCCACTCAGAACCTGAGTGATACGACCAAACTTGACACTCAGCCACTCAGAACCTGAGTGATACGACCAAACTTGACACTCAGCCACTCAGAACCTTAGTGATACGACCAAACGTGACACTCAGCCACTCAGAACTTGAGTGACACGACCAAACTTGACACTCAGCCACTCAGAACCTGAATAACACGACCAAACTTGACACTCAGCCACTCAGAACCTTAGTAACACGACCAAACTTGACACTCAGCCACTCAGAACCTGAGTAACACGACCAAACTTGACACTCAGCCACTCAGAACCTGAGTAACACGACCAAACTTGACACTCAGCCACTCAGAACCTGAGTGACACGACCAAACTTGACACTCAGCCACTCAGAACCTGAGTGATACGACCAAACTTGACACTCAGCCACTCAGAACCTGAGTGATACGACCAAACTTGACACTCAGCCACTCGGAACCTTAGTGATACGATCAAACTTGACACTCAGTCACTCAGAACCTGAGTAACACGACCAAACTTGACACTCAGTCACTCAGAACCTGAGTGACACGACTAAACTTGACACTCAGCCACTCAGAACCTGAGTGATACGACCAAACTTGACACTCAGCCACTCAGAACCTGAGTGGCACGACCAAACTTGACACTCAGCCACTCAGAACCTGAGTGACACGACCAAATTTTACACTCAGCCACTCAGAACCTGAGTAACACGACCAAACTTGACACTCATCCACTCAGAACCTGAGTGACACGACCAAACTTGATACTCAGCCACTCAGAACTTGAGTGATACGACCAAACTTGACACTCAGCCACTCAGAACCTGAGTGACACGACCAAACTTGACACTCAGCCACTCAGAACCTGAGTAACACGACCAAACTTGACACTCAGCCACTCAGAACCTGAGTAACACGACCAAACTTGACACTCAGCCACTCAGAACCTTAGTGACACGACCAAACTTGACACTCAGCCACTCAGAACCTTAGTGATACGACCAAACTTGACACTCAGCCACTCAGAACTTGAGTGATACGACCAAACTTGACACTCAGCCACTCAGAACCTGAGTGGCACGACCAAACTTGACACTCAGCCACTCAGAACCTGAGTGACACGACCAAATTTTACACTCAGCCACTCAGAACCTGAGTAACACGACCAAACTTGACACTCAGCCACTCAGAACCTGAGTGACACGACCAAACTTGATACTCAGCCACTCAGAACTTGAGTGATACGACCAAACTTGACACTCAGCCACTCAGAACCTGAGTGACACGACCAAACTTGACACTCAGCCACTCAGAACTTCAGTGGAAATACAATATAAGATAATTAACAAATAACAACTGAAAGAGAATGAGAAGAATGATCTGCTGTGGTGAAGAGAAACGACAGAAATCTACGTTACCTTTGGAATGACGTCTGTGAACCTTTGTTAGAAGACTGATGCTGACGTTATCAGTTGTGTTCAGCTCCTCCACAACACTGCCGTACCTGTGACAACACAGTAACAACTACAGTGACAACACAGTGTCTCTATTTCCCACCTCCACCCCTCCTTCAGAATATTGGCACTCTACTTTCCACCTCTAGGTCTCAAGTCCTGCTAACCTCTTTCCCTGAATCCCTTCATAAATGTTAGTTCGCTCACACTCCAACAGCAAGTCAATTCATTAAAATCCATTTCTCTCCACTCCTATCTAACACTCTGAGTTACGCTTGCTGGAAGTCCAAGCCCCTCGCACACAAAACCTCCTTTACCCCCTCCCTCCAATCTTTCCTAGGCCGACCCCTACCCCGCTTTCCTTCCACTACAGGTTTATATACCCTCCAAATCATTCTGTTTCGTTGTATCCTTTCTAAATGTCAACAACCCATTCTCAGACCTCTGAACAATACTTTTAGAAATCCCTTACCTCCTAATCTCCAAGCTACAGATTCTCTGTAGCTTGTTGCTTTCTCCTTGTTGCAACATTCACCACCCATGCTTCACACCCATATAGGAGCGTAGGTATAATTATACTTTCATACATTTTCCTCTTTGCTTCCACGGATAACGTTTTTTGTCTCCGCAGACTCCTCAGTGCATCACTCACCTTTTTCCTCTCATCAGTTTAATGATTCACTTCGTCTTTCATAGACCCATCTGTTAAAACGTCTATTCCCAAACATGTGAATACATTCATTTCCTCCATACTCCCTCCCTCCAATCTGATATCTAAGCTTTCATTAAATTTTTGTTATCCTCATCACCTTACTCTTTCCTTTGTTCACTTTTAGTTTTCTTATTTTACGTACCCTTCCAAACTCATCTATAAGCACAGTGTTATTAGCAAAGAGCAACTGTGACAACTCCCACTTTGTGTTAGATTTTTTATCAAAATTTTAACCCCACACCTCTTGCCAACACCCGATCATTCACTTCTCTTACAACTCCATCTATAGATATATTGAACAACTGTGGTGACTTCACACATCCTTGTCTAAGGCCTACTTTTACTGGGATATAATCTCCCTCTCTCCTACATACTGTAACCTGAGCCTCACTATCCTCGTTAAAACCCTTCACTGCTTTCATTACCCTACCTCCGATTCCATACATTTAAGAACATAAGAAAGAAGGAACACCACAACAGGTCTACTGACCCATGCGGAGCAGGTCCATGTCCGCCCCCCCGGATTTGCCTAATGACCCACCCAGTCTGGCCACCTCCACTCAAGGATGGAGCACGGCACCAGACTGGTAACACAAGCTAGTCAGGTCCAACTCACACCCACCCACACCCACTCATGTATTTATCTAACCTATTTTTAAAACTACACAACGTTTTAGCCTGAATAACTGTACTCGAGAGTTTGTTCCACTCATCCACAACTCTATTACCAAACCAGTGCTTTCCTATATCCTTCCTGAATCTGAATTTTTCCAACTGGAAACCATTGCTGCGAGTCCTGTCTTGGCTGGAAATTTTCAGCAAGCTGTTTACATCCCCTTTATTTATTCCTGTTTTCCATTTATACACCTCGATCATATCCCCCCTAATTCTACGCCTTTCGAGAGAGTGCAGATTCAGGGCCCTCAGTCTATCCTCATAGGGAAGATTTCTGATACATGGGATCATCTTTGTCATCCTCCTCTGTACGTTTTCCAGAGCATTTATATCCATTCTGTAATACGGTGACCAGACCTGAGCAGCATAGTCTAAATGAGGCCTAACCAAGGATATATAGAGTTGAAGAACAACCTGAGGACTTCCATTATTTATACTTCTAGATATGAAACCAAGAATTCTCTTACATTTATTGCGAACACTAATGCACTGTTGTCTTGATTTTAGATTACTGCTAACCAGAACTCCTAAATCCTTTTCGCAATCAGTAGTATTAAGATCTACATTATTTAGTTTATATGTGGGATGGTTATTTACCTGTCCAACATTTCGAACTTTGCATTTGTCAATATTAAACTGCATCTGCCACTTCTCCGACCATTGCATCAGTCTATTCAAATCATCATGGAGTGCTCTAATGTCCTCATTAGAATGAATTGGACGGCCTATTTTGGCGTCATCAGCAAATTTGCTTATGTCGCTATTTATTCCCTCATCTATGCCGTTTATGTATTTTGTGAACAACAACGGGCCCAACACTGACCCCTGAGGAACACCGCTTGTGACGTGCCCCCATTCTGATTTCTCCCCATTTATGCAAACTCTCTGCTGCCTATTTGTCAGCCATGCCTCTACCCAGGAAAAAAATTATCCTCCTATTCCGTGTGCCTTAAGTTTCCTCAATAGCCTCTGGTGTGGAACTTTATCGAAAGCCTTACTGAAGTCCATATACACAATATCATATTCATTACCATGATCTACCTCCTCAAACACCTTAGTGAAAAAAGTTAGTAAATTCGTAAGACAGGAACGCCCCTTTGTAAAACCGTGTTGAGATTCATTAATCAATCTGTTCCTATCAAGATGGCTACGAATTGCTTCGGCAATTATTGATTCCATAATTTTTCGCACTATGGAGGTAAGGCTTATTGGTCTATAGTTCGAAGCCATGAACCTGTCACCTGCCTTGTAAATAGGTATTACATTTGCCATTTTCCACTTATCAGGCACTATGCCAGTTTGTAGTGATATGTTAAAAAGATTAGCAAAAGGTATGCTAAGTTCCTCTTCACATTCCTTTAACACCCTTGCAAACAGTTCACCAGGACATGGGGACTTGTTAGGTTTCAGTTTCTCTATTTGTCTGAGGACTATGTCACTAGTTACCGCAATCGTACATAGTTTATTATCATCTTGTTCTACATAATCTATTATTTCAGGAATATCGCTAGTATTTTCCTGGGTGAAAACTGAGAGGAAGTAGGTATTGAGAATTTCACACATATCCTTATTACTGTCAGTGATCTGACCAGAGTTACTCTTAAGTGGGCCAATCTTGTCCCTAATCTTACTTCTGTATACCTGAAAGAACCCTTTTGGGTTAGTCTTTGAATCCCTTGCGACCTTAGCCTCATAATCCCTTTTTGCTTTTCTTATTCCTTTCTTTATTTCTCTCTTTAATTGAATATATTCATTTCTTAACTGCCCATCCCCTCTTTTGATACGCCTATATATGCCTCTCTTTTGACCAATGAGATGTTTTAATCTATTGTTCATCCATTTGGGATAATTTTTGTTAGATCTAATTTCCCTACTCGGAACAAAAGTTGTCTGGGCAGCTAGAATTATGCTCTGAAAAACGTCATATTGGCAACCAACATCATCTACCTGACCCATAGTCAGGACATCCCAATTTAGCCCACCCAGGTAATCTTTCAGTCCCATGAAGTTGGCCAAGCGAAAATCTGGGACAGAGATTTGATTGCAGTTATCTGGGTAATTCCATGATATATTGAAACTAAGTGATTTGTGATCACTTTCCCCAAGCTCATCATTAACGTCAAGATAATTAATTAGTGAATCTTTGTTGGCAAGAACCAAGTCAATCAGATTGTTTCCTCTAGTTGGTTCTGTCACAACCTGTTCTAAAAAGCAATCCTGAACCGTATCAAGAAAGTCACTAGACTCAAGATTTCCTGTCATATTGTTCCAATCAATTTGTCTAAAGTTAAAATCTCCCATTATCACAACATTTTTATATCTAGATGCCTTATGAATTTCGTCCCAAAACAGCTTACTGCACTCCCTATCAAGGTTTGGGGGGCCTATAAATCACACCCAAAATTAATTTGTCACGTTCCTCGAGAAACTGTAGCCAAACAGATTCTGTGTTCGATGTTTCTAATCTTATATCATGTCTAAGAAAACAATTAAAATTTTCTCTGACATACACCGCCACTCCACCACCCTTCCTGTTGACCCTATCAGCATTACTTCCCTATCCACCCTATCACACGCCTTTTCCAAATCCATAAATGCCACAAAAACCTCTTTACCCTTATCTAAATACTGTTCAACTATGTGTATGACTGTAACCACCTGGTCTACACACCCCCTACCCTTCCTCAAGCCTCCTTGTTCATCCTCTTTCCTGCTCTCCCTCTTGCTCTTAATTCTCTCAATAAGATGATTATTATACTCAATAAATTAATTGATATATTCAATATTATAATTATTATTATTATCATTATTATTATTATTATTATTATTATTATTATTATTATTATTATTATTATTATTTATTATTATTATTATTATTATTATTATTATATTATTATTATTATTATTATTATTGCATCAATTTTCACTGGTCTTATATATCATAAATGTATTAAAGGTAAAGTGAGCTGAGATGAGCTTTTAGTCCATTTAATTAGTTTTTAATTTGTTTAATCAAACTCTTCTATGTTGTTGTAAAAGTTGTTTTTTATAATTTTCTATTATTATGTTTATATTGTAATTGTAATAATAATAATAAAAATTTAATAATAATAATAATAATAATAATAATAATAATAATAATAATAATAATAATAATAATAATAGTAATAGTAATAATAATAATAATAATAATAATAATAATATAATAATAATAATAATAATAATAATAATAATAACAATGGGTCTTCTGGTCAAACTTCCCACCTGAGATACACAACACCTGCCATCCCTAGGTGTCCCCCAGGTGACTCACCTGGGCTGCACCTGTGGCAGGTGGTGACAGCAGGTGCCTGAGGTGCAGGCATCAAGGCAGGCGGTGTAGGTGACGTGGTTGTTACTGTTCCCACCACAGCCAGAGTACCTGAAGGAGGCGCAGGAACCATCCTGGGGACTGTAGTACCATCGCTCTTGGGGACTCCTACCTCCTTCTGCTACCCCCCTCGGGGGACACTCACCTGGGGGAGGATCACACCACGGGGGGTCACACTAAGTCAAAGTAACAGGTAATAAGGGTAATTAAGCTGAAACAAACAGGAGAGTAAACTAAGCTAAAACAGAAAGTAATGGATAATTAAGGTAATTAAGCTCAGACAAACAGAAAGAAAAGTAAACTAATTAAGTTCAAAGAGGAAATCAGCTTAAGCTGAAACAGAAATACAACTAATTAAGCTTAAATTACCATAAAATAATGTTATTGATTTCAAATATTTAGTAAATCGTGGTAATAAATATCTAAGAGGAAATAAAAAGTATATATATATATATATATATATTATATATATATATATAATATAAATATTTTTATATATATATATATATATATATATATATTATATATATATATATATATATATATATTTATATATATATATATATATATATATAACTTTGATATATATATTTTTAAAACACAGTAGGATATAAATTGCTGTAGGCAGGGTGACCCTACAATAGGCAGGGTGACCCTGCAACTAGGCAGGGTGCCCCTACAAACTAGGCAGGGGGGACCCTGCCAACAAGGCAGGGTGACCCTACAACTAGGCAGGGTGACCCTACAACTAGGCAGGGTGACCCTGCAACTAGGCAGGGTGACCCTACAACTAGGCAGGGGTGACCCTGAAAACTAGGCAGGGGGGACCTACAACTAGGCAGGGTGACCCTGCAACTAGGCAGGGTGACCCTACAACTAGGCAGGGTGACCCTGCAACTAGGCAGGGTGACCCTACAACTAGGCAGGGTGACAATGCAACTAGGCAGGGTGACCCTACAACTAGGCAGGGTGACCCTACAACTAGGCAGGGTGACCCAACAACTAGGCAGGGTGACCCAACAACTAGGCAGGGTGACCCAACAACTAGGCAGGGTGACCCAACAACTAGGCAGGGTGACCCAACAACTAGGCAGGGTGACCCAACAACTAGGCAGGGTGACCCTATAACTAGGCAGGGTGACCAAACAAACTAGGCAGGGTGGCCAACAATAGGCGGGGTGCCCCAACAACTAGGCAGGGTGACCCAACAACTAGGCAGGGTGACCCAACAACTAGGCAGGGTGACCCTATAACTAGGCAGGGTGACCCTACAACTAGGCAGGGTGACCCAACAACTAGGCAGGGTGACCCAACAACTAGGCAGGATGACCCAACAACTAGGCAGGGTGACCCAACAACTAGGCAGGGTGGCCCAACAACTACATAAGAACATAAGAAAGGAGGAACACTGCAGGAGGCCTGCTGGCCCATACTAGGCAGGTCCTTTACAATTCATCCCACTAACAAAACATTTACCCAACCCAATTTTCAATGCTACCCAAGAAATAAGCTCTGATGTGAAAGTCCCACTCAAATCCAACCCTTCCCACTCATGTACTTATCCAACCTAGATTTGAAACTACCCAAAGTCCTAGCCTCAATAACCCAACTAGGTAGACTGTTCCACTCATCAACTACCCTATTTCCAAACCAATACTTTCCTATGTCCTTTCTAAATCAAAAACTTATCTAATTTAAATCCATTACTGGGGGTTTTCTCTCTTGGAGAGACATCCTCAAGACCTTATTAATACCCCTTTATTAATACCTATTTTCCCACTTATACACTTCGATCAGGTCTCCCCTCATTCTTCGTCTAACAAGTGAATGTAACTTAAGAGTCTTCAATCTTTCTTCAAAAGGGAAGTTTTCTGATGCTATGTATTAATTTAGTCATCCTACGCTGAATTTTTTTCTAACGAATTTATGTCCATTTTGTAATACGGAGACCAGAATGAGCTGCATAATCAAGGTGAGGCCTTACAAATGATGTATTAAGCTGCAGTATGACCTCTGGACTTCTGTTGCTTACACTTCTTGATATAAATCCCAGTAATCTATTTGCCTTATTACGTACGTTTAGGCATTGCTGTCTTGGTTTAAGGTTGCTGCTCACCATAACCCCAAGTCCTTTTCGCAATCTGTATGGCTAAGTTCTACATCATTTAATTTATAAGTAACAGGGTTATGGGCACCCCCAAAGCTTCAGAAACCTTGCATTATCTACATTGAACTGCATCTGCACTTTCTGACCAAGAATAGAGTTTGTTTAAGTCCTCCTGAAGTTCCCAAACATTACGTTTGAATCAATTATCCTACCTATCTTTGTGTCATCGGCGAATTTGCTCATATCACTAGTAATTCCCTCATCAAGATCATTGATATATTTTTATAAACAACAACGGGCCCAAGACTGATCCCTGTGGAACGCCACTTGTTACAGATCCCCACTCGGATTTAACCCCATTTATGGACACTCTCTGCTTCCTGTCAGTGAGCCATGACTCGATCCACGAGAGCACTTTTCCCCCAATGGCCATGGGCTGCCACTTTCTTTAACAGTCTATGGTGCGGAACTCTATCAAAAGCCTTACTAAAATCTAAGAAAATAATATCAAATTCTTTATTGTGGTCAACAGCCTCAAAAGCTTTACTGAAGAAAGTTAATAAATTAGTTAGACAAGACCGGCCTCTTGTGAATCCAAAGCTGAGTATCATTAATCAAGCTATGCTTATCGAGATGGCTTCTTATAATTCAGCTATAATTGACTCTAGTAATTTGCCTACAATTGAGGTCAGGCTTATTGGGCGGTAATTTGACGGTAACGACTTGTCCCCTGTTTTAAAAATAGGAGTTACATTAGCCATCTTCCACATATCAGACACTACACCCGTTGAAGAGTAAATTTAAAAATATTAGTTAATGGTTCACAGAGTTCCATTTTGCATTTTCCTTTAAGAACCCTTGAAAAAACCTCATCAGGACCCGGCGACTTATTTTGCTTCGTCTGTCTATCTGCCTCACAACCATCTCACTAGTGACTGTGATGTTAAAATAATTTATCTTCTTCTAGCCCACTGTAAAAATTAATTACTGGGGAAAATTGTTAGTGTCTTCCTGTGTAAAAATGAGAGAAAATTTAAATTTTTTAAAATCAAGCACATTTCATTCTCATTGTCAGTAAGGGCCCATAGTTATTTTTAAGGGACCTATCTTATCTCTAACTTTTGTTCTATAGACCTGGAAAAAACTTTTTGGGTTAGTTTTAGAATCCTAGCAACTTTAATTTCATAGTCCCTTTTAGCTTTTCTTTATCCCCTTTTTAATGTCCCTCTTTAAAGTCAATAACTGATTCATGATGACCCTCACCTCTTTTGATACGCCTATAAATTCCTTTCTTATGCCCTAGTAGATATTTGAGCCTATTATTCATCCATTTTGGGTCATTCTTATTTGATCTAATTTCTTTTATGGGATAAACGCTCTTTGAGCAGCATGTATAGTGTTCAGAAAACTGTCATATTGGATAGCTCTCTTCGTTACCCCCAGTCAACAAGATGATAAGTGTTCTTTAAGCCCATCGTAATCTGCTAAGCGAAAATCTGGGACTGTTACTGAGTTTTCGCTACTATCGTATTCCATTCAATGCTAAATGTATTGATTTGTGGTCGCTAGCACCCAGTTCCTCTGAAATTTCTAAAAATTTTTAACAAGGGATTCATTGTTTGCCATAACTAGTCCCCAAACAGGTTATTTCCCCTTGTAGGTTCTGTCACAAACTGCTTCAAAAAAAATCCTGAAATACTTCTAAGAGTCGTACGATTCTAAATTCCCAGTCAAGAAATTCCAAACAACATGACTAAAGTTAAAGTCTCCTAGAATTACTACATTTTTCGTGCCTTGTGGCCTTAACAATTTCCCCCCATAGTAAATTTCCCTTGGTCCCTATCTAAGTTAGGGGGACGGTTTTATCACTCCTAAAATCAGTTTTTTATGCCCCTCTGAAAAATTCTATCCAAACAGACTCTGTATGTGTTACTTCAGACTTAATACCCGTTTTTATGCAACAGTTCAAACGATCTCGACGTACAATGCCACCCCACCCCCCTCCCAATACTTCTATCTTCTTGGAACCCAATTAAAAAACCCCGAAAATGACATTCCGCAGGCATGTCCCGACTTTTTTAATTAAACCAGTCTCAGTTAAGGCAAATACATCAATGTTACCCACATAGCAACTAATCTCAACTCGTCCCTCTTATTCCTAGCACTACGGCAATTAGCATAATAAACATTGAAAGACTCTCCTTTCTCTTTACCCTTCCTGCTCATTTCTATTTTTCTACTAAACCTATTACCGTCTTTATCACCAAGGTCCCTGGCTTTTCAATATCTATCTCGTTCTTATTATTACTGTTCCCTAGAACTCGTAATATTACTACACTGGGACTTCACTGTTTTTCCTGCCAAAACCCATACCACTAACTATTCCTAGTTTAAAGTCCTAACTGCTCCTCCCCTGCAGTTGCCAGTGCTCCCACCCCACACCTAGATAAGTGAAACCCCCTCCCTAGCATACATGTCATTTTTTGCCATAGAAGAGGTCCCAGTTGTCAATGAATGTTACCGCATTTTCCTTACAGTATTTGTCCAGCCAGCAATTGACACCAATTGCCCTGGACAACCATTCACTTCCAACTCCCCTCCTTGGCAAAATACCACATATGAGAGGGTTCCCACCCTTACTTCTAATTATTTCTATTGCTGACCTATACCTGCTAATCAGGTCCTCACTCCTACGTCTGCCAACATCGTTGCCTCCAGCACTGAGACAGATAATAGGATTGCTCCCATTACCTCTCATGATGTCATCCAGACGGCTAACAATATCCTCCATCCCAGCCCCAGGGTGACCCAACAACTAGGCAGGGTGACCCAACAACTAGGCAGGGTGACCCTACAACTAGGCAGGGTGACCCAACAACTAGGCAGGGTGACCCAACAACTAGGCAGGGTGACCCAACAACTAGGCAGGGTGACCAAACAACTAGGCAGGGTGACCCTACAACAAGGTAAGGTGACCTTACAACAAGGTAAGGTGACCTTACAACTAGGCAGGGTGCCCCAACAACTAGGCAGGGTGACCCTACAACAAGGTAAGGTGACCTTACAACTAGGCAGGGTGACCAAACAACTAGGCAGGATGACCCTACAACAAGGTAAGGTGACCTTACAACAAGGTAAGGTGACCCTACAACTAGGCAGGGTGACCCAAAAACTAGGCAAGGTAACCCTACAATCTGACAGGGTGACCCTACAACTAAGCACGGTGACCCAACAACTAAGCAGGGTGACCCAACAACTAAGCAGGGTGACCCAACAACTAGGCAGGGTGACCCTACAACAAGGTAAGGTGACACTACAACAAGGTAAGGTGACCCTACAACTAGGCACGCTGACCCTACAACAAGGTAAGGTGACCCAACAACTAGGCAGGGTGACCCTACAACAAGGTAAGGTGACCCTACAACTAGGCAGGGTGACCCTACAACAAGGTAAGGTGACCCTACAACTAAGCAGGATGACCCTACAACTAGGCAGGGTGACCCTACAACAAGGTAAGGTGACACTACAACTAAGCAGGGTGACCCTACAACTAGGCAGGGTGACCCTACAACAAGGTAAGGTGACCCTACAACTAAGCAGGGTGACCCTACAACTAGGCAGGGTGACCCTACAACAAGGTAAGGTGAAAACCCCACAACTAAGCAGGGTGACCCTACAACAAGGCAGGGTGACCCTACAACAAGGTAAGGTGACACTACAACAAGGTAAGGTGACCCTACAACTAGGCAGGGTGACCCTACAACAAGGTAAGGTGACCCAACAACTAGGCAGGGTGACCCTACAACAAGGTAAGGTGACCCTACAACTAGGCAGGGTGACCCTACAACAAGGTAAGGTGACCCTACAACTAAGCAGGGTGACCCTACAACCAGGCAGGGTGACCCTACAACAAGGTAAGGTGACACTACAACAAGGTAAGGTGACCCTACAACTAGGCACGCTGACCCTACAACAAGGTAAGGTGACCCAACAACTAGGCAGGGTGACCCTACAACAAGGTAAGGTGACCTTACAACAAGGTAAGGTGACCTTACAACTAGGCAGGGTGCCCCAACAACTAGGCAGGGTGACTCTACAACAAGGTAAGGTGACCTTACAACTAGGCAGGGTGACCAAACAACTAGGCAGGATGACCCTACAACAAGGTAAGGTGACCCTACAACTAGGCAGGGTGACCCAAAAACTAGGCAAGGTAACCCTACAATCTGACAGGGTGACCCTACAACTAAGCACGGTGACCCAACAACTAAGCAGGGTGACCCAACAACTAAGCAGGGTGACCCAACAACTAGGCAGGGTGACCCTACAACAAGGTAAGGTGACACTACAACAAGGTAAGGTGACCCTACAACTAGGCACGCTGACCCTACAACAAGGTAAGGTGACCCAACAACTAGGCAGGGTGACCCTACAACAAGGTAAGGTGACCCTACAACTAGGCAGGGTGACCCTACAACAAGGTAAGGTGACCCTACAACTAAGCAGGGTGCCTACAACTAGGCAGGGGTGAACCTACAACAAGGTTAAGGTGCACTACAACTAAGCGGGGACCTACAAACAGGCAGGGTGACCCTACAACAAGGTAAGGTGACCTACAACTAAGCAGGGGGGACCCCACAACTAGGCAGGGTGACCCTACAACAAGGGAAGGGGGACCCTACAACTAAGCAGGGTGACCCTACAACTAGGCAGGGTGACCCTACAACAAGGTAAGGTGACACTACAAAAAGGTAAAGGGGACCTACAACTAGGCAGGGTGACCCTACAACAAGGTAAGGTACCCAACAACTAGCAGGGGGCCCCACAACAAAGGAAGGTGACCTACAATAGGCAGGGGGCCCCACAAAAAGGAAGGTGACCCTAAAACTAAACAGGGTGACCCAACAACTAGGCAGGGTGACCCTACAACAAGGTAAAGGGGCACTACAAAAGGTAAAGGGGACCCTACAAAGGCACGTGACCCCACAAACAAGGGAAGGTGACCAACAATAGGCAGGGTGACCCTAAAACAGGTAAGGTGACCCTTTCAACTAGGCAGGGGGCCCTAAACAAGGGAAGGTGACCCAAAAAAAGCGGGTGACCCAAAAAAACTAGGCGGGGGACCCCACAACAAGGTAAGGTGACCCCAAAAAACTAAACAGGGTGACCCTACAATTAGGAGGGGGACCCTACAACAAGGAAGGTGACCCAAACTAGGCAGGGTGGGCCCCACAAAAAGGTAAGGTGACCCTACAACTAAGCAGGGTGACCCTACAATAGGCGGGTACCCACAAAAAGGTAAGGGACCCTAAACTAGGCAGGGGGACCTACAAAAAGGTAAGGTGACCCTACAACTAAGCGGGGGACCCTACAAACTACGGCAGGGTGACCCTACAACAAGGTAAGGTGACCCTACAACTAGGCAGGGTGACCCTACAAGAAGGTAAGGTGACCCTACAACTAAGCAGGGTGACCCTACAACTAGGCAGGGTGACCCCTACAACAAGGTAACTTGACCCTAACTAGGCAGGGGTGACCTACATGATGTAAAGGTGACCCTACAAATAAGCAGGGTGGACCTACAACTAGGCAGGGTGACCTACAACAAGGGTAACGTGAAGGTCCTGGTTGAGTTAACTTACCCACGACAGGGGGCAGTAAGCAGTTGGTATTAGTGGGTGTCTGACAGTGCCGCCCACTGTGGGTGGTGGGACACAGGCAGCGGTAGGAGGGGCGGCGCCGCCCACTGTGGGTGGCCACACACACACCCTCGTTCATACATGGTGCACTGATACACGGATCTGCAGTGTTATTATTATTATTATTATTATTATTATTATTATTATTATTATTATTATTATTATTATTATTATTATTACTAAGTGTTATTGAAGCTCTACATAGAGCTTACCTATATTTTCTATCTATATTTTATCTATATTGTTTTACAGAGCTTTACCTAGGCTGAAGAAAACACTCAAAGTAAACAGCTGGTTATGTCTTTGTTCTGTCGTCAGATAGTACCTATTTAACTACTCAGTATTTTACCTTCGTCAGATAGTACCTATTTAACTACTCAGTATTTTACCTTCGTCAGATAGTACCTATTTAACTAAAATCAGTACTTTAACTTCGGTCATATAGTACCTACTTAACATCTCAGTACCTTACCTGTGTCAGGAGAGGTTGGCCAGATGATGGAACACCCTCCACAGGTGTTGATGACGGGGCTCCTGGAGGCACTGGTGGCCCTGGGGCTCAAGTAATTGGCCAGAGTGGCCACAAGGTGTAGGTCACAGGGTGGCCTGGCCACCTCACAGCCACACCACCAGGCCACCACACCACTCAGCGCACGCAGGCTCTCCACACCCTTTGTGTTGACTCATGTCAGCTTCCAAGTTCAGTCACCTTACCACCTGTATGTGCACTTTGTTCTTACACTTAGGTGTATAAACTTGTATCTTATAATATGTACAACATAAGGACTGTACACACTCACTCACACATACACACACAACACACACATACACATTACACACACACACACACACACACACATACACACACACAAACTACACATACACACCACACACACACACACACACACACACACACACACACACACACACAACACCACACACACACACACACACCACCAACATCACACACACACACACACCTGTATATGGTAGATAGAAGAAACACCTGCATCTTCATCAACAGGAACATCTGCATCTTCACCAACGGGAACACCTGTGTCATATTTAGAAGTAGGAACGCCTGCACTTTCAGGAGCAGGAACATCTGTAACATCTCCAGCAGGAACACCTGTATCATCCTCAGGAGCAGAAACACCTGTATCATCCTCAGGAGCAGAAACACCTGTATCATCCTCAGGAGCAGGAACACCTGTATTATCCTCAGGAGCAGAAACACCTGTATCATCCTCAGGAGCAGAAACACCTGTATCATCCTCAGGAGCAGAAACTCCTGTATCATCCTCAGGAGCAGGAACACCTGTATCATCCTCAGGAGCAGGAACACCTGTATCATCTTCTAAAGAAACACCTGTATCATCCTCAGGAGCAGGAACACCTGTATCATCCTCAGAAGCAGGAACACCTGTATCATCCTCAGGAGCAGAAACACCTGTATCATCTTCTAAAGAAACACCTGTATCATCCCCAGATCCAGGCACTCCTACAGTGCTTCCTACAGTGCCTGCTGCAGTGCCTGCTGCAGTGCCTGCTGCAGTGCCTGCTGCAGTGCCTGCTGCAGTGCCTGCTGCAGTGCCTGTTGCTGTGCCTCCTACAGTGCCTCCTACAGTGCCTCCCGCGGTGCCTCCTACAGTGTCTCCTGCAGTGCCTCTTACAGTGCCTCCTACAGTACTTCCTGCAGTGTATTCTGCAGGGCCTCCTGCAGTGCTTCCTACAGTGCTTCCTACAGTGCCTCCTGCAGAGACTGGCACACTAGCTGGTGAAGAAACAGGTGTGTGGGTCAGGATGCTGCTGTCTGCCTCCCTCAGCCACGTCTGCCACGTCAGTGCCTTCCACACCCTCATCCTGGCAGCCTCGTCAGACGACGAGTACATTTGGACGTGTACGTCTCTCACTCGACGTATTCCCGCTTCTTCAACTCGGAGCAGATGCAACAATTCCTGGAAGGATGGAGATAATTATATTTTACATGGCACTTAAAAAGTGCTATCTGGCACTCTCTAATTGTACCTGACACACACACACACACACACACACACACCACACACAACACACACACACACACACATCCACAACACACACATCCACACACACATACACACACACCACAACTCCACACCACACACACACATCCACACACACATACAAGAGAGAGAGGAAGGATGAATGAACCAGCAAGGCTGGACTTAGTATTCACCTTGGTAGTGCAGATATCGAGGACATCACATATGAAAAGGACCCCTTTGGGGCCCAGTGACATGTGGTTTAAGCTTCGAATACACGTAGAAGCTACAAGTGGAAGGAGAAGCAGGTAAGGCCAGGACGAATGAAGCCAAACTACAAGGAAGGGGAGACACAGGAATGAGGCGGAATTCCTCTGAACGGGGTTCCAGTGCGGACAGAGAACTGGCAGGGAAGCCATATAATGAGATGAACGAATATGTAGGCAAACAAAAATGCAGAGGCTGAGGAGGGTTTTTGTACCCAACGGTAACAGGAATAATGAAAAAGCCAGGATGAGCCCATGGTTTCCAAAGGTGCAGGGATGGCAAAACCAAGTTGTGTAGGAATGGAAGAAATATAGAAAGGCAAAGGACCGAAGGAGAATAAGGAGGCAGTCGTAGAGCCAGAAAAAAGAATATGCACAGATAAGAAGGGGGGCCCAACGACCAATATGAAAACGACATAGCGGCGAAAGCCAATCTGACCCGAAACTGTTGTTACAGCCCATCAAGAGGAAAAAACACAGTCAAGGACCAGGTAATCAGGGCTAAGGAAGGAAGGAGGAGATGGTTCGCAACAAGAAAAGACCGTGATGTATGTGAGGCAACTCAACAAGAGATTCAAAGAAGTGTTCACAGAGAAGACGGATAGGGGCTTCCAGAAAGGACGTGAGAGGTGGGGCAAACCACCATGTGCTGGACACAGTGCAACACAACCGAGGATGAGTGAGAGGCTTTCTGAGTGGAGCTAGACACTTCAAAGGCAATGGGGCCAGATAACATCTCCCCTTGGGTATTGAGAGAGGGAGCAGGGGCGCTATGTGTACCCCTAACAACAATATTCAATACATCTATCGAAACAGGGAGATTGCCTGAGGCATGGAAGACAGCAAATGTGTCCCAATCTGTAAAAAAGGAGACAGAATGAATCTTAAACTACAGACCAGTGTCACTGACATGTTATAGTATTGCAAAATCATGGGAGAAGATTTATCAGGAGAAGAGTGGTGGATAACACCTAGAAAGGAACGATCTCATCAACAGCAGCCAACCATGGTTTCAGGGGACGGAAAATCCTGTTTCACAAACCTACTGGAGTTCTTGACATGGTGGCAAGCAGTAAGTCAAGAGAGAGGGGGTGGGTATGGATTGCATTTTTCTTGGACTGCAGAAGGCGTTTGACAACAGTTCCACAAAGAGATTGGTGCAAAACTGGAGGGGACAAGCAGGGTGAACAGGGAAGGCACTACAAGGGATCAGGGAATACTTGTCCGGTAGGACAGCGGACGGAAGTCATGGTAGTGGCGAGTGTCAGAGTGGGCACCTGTGACCAGCGGGGTCCACGGTGGTCATTTCCTAGGACAGTGCTGTTTCTGGTATTTGATGAATGACATGACGGAGGAATAGACTTGAGGTTGTCCCTGGTTTGCAGATGACGTGAAGTTGATGAGAAGAAATTCACTCGATCGAAGGCTGGCAGAACTACAATGGATCTGGACAGCTGCAGACCTGTTCAGCAATTGCGCTCCTGGAGTTCAATCCCACCAATTGTGGCAAAAGTCATGAAGATTGGGGAAGGGCAAAGAAAGGCCGCAGACGGAGTACAGTCTAGGGGGTCAGAGACTTACAAACCTCACTCAGGAAAAAGATCTTGGCGTGAGTTAAACACCTGGACATCTCCTGAAGCGCACATTCAACAAATAACTGCTGCAGCATATGGGCGCCCTAGCAAACCTCAGAACAGCATTCCGGACATCTTTAATAGGAATCATCGGACCCTGTTTTACACCGTGTACGTTAGGCCCATAATTGAGTATGCGGCACCAGTTTGGGAACCCACACCTAGCCAAAAGCACGTGAACGAAACTAGAGAAAAGTGCATAAAGGTTTGCAACACAGGGACTAGTCCAGGAGCTAAGAGGTATGTCCTACGAGGAGAGGTTAAGGGAAATCAACCTGACGACACTGGATGGGACAGGAGAAGATTAGGGGGGACATGATAAACGACATACAAAACACTGAGAGGAATGACATAGGTGGACAAAGACAGGATGTTCCAGAGATTGGACACAGTTAACAAGGGACGCAGTTGGAAGCTGAAGACACAGATGAATCTCAGGGATGTTAGGGAAGTATTTCTTCAGCCAAGAGAGTGACAGTAAGTGGAATAGTTTTGGGAAGCGATGTAGTGGAGGCAGGATCCATACTAGCTTTAAGCAGAGGTATGATAAAGCCTCACGGCTCAGGGAGAGTGACTAGTGCGATCAGTGAAGTGGCGGGGCAGGAGCTCGGATCGGACCCCGCTACCGCAACTAGGATGGAGTACAACTAGGTGAGTTCACACACACACATACACCACACACCACACACAAAGACACCACACATACACACACACACACACCACACACAGACACACACACACACATCCACTCACTCACACATAGCACAACACACTCAACACAACATACACACACACACACATACACACACACACACACCACCACACACACCACACACACACATACACCACACACACAACACACACACACAACACCACACACACACACATACTCACACACACACACACACACACACACACACACACACACCATACACACACACAACCACCTCACACAAACACACACACACACCACACACATACACACACATAACACACACAACACACACACACAACACACAACACACACACACTCACACCACACAACAAACACACACACACACATGCTAGAAAAAAAATAGGTGATATTGTTAAAATATTCTTTTATTAGATAGTTGGAAAAGCAGTATCTGTTTTCTATTACTACCACAGATATTACCATTGCCACTTCAAACACATCCCCAACAACACACATCACAGACTCACAGACAGCAACAAACATCTTCAAACACATCTGGGAGAATATCTTTCACCCGCACTCACCTCATTCTAAGGCTATTCAACACATATAACATATAGAACACTGGAACACCACACACACACACGAAACAACAAAAGACAATCACATCCATCTGGACTCCCTCACCTCCACACAGGAACTCGATACACCTTTCACCAACACAGATATTAAAGCTTTCCTCGGACACCTTCTCTAAAGGCTCCTGGTGCCTCGTCCTAAACCACCAGACTCCATCATCACTACCTACACAAATCTCCTCAGTGCTTCCCTCGCTTCTGGATACTTTCCTTCTCTCTTCAAAGCTCCTACCATTATCCTCCTACCTAAACCCAATAAAGACCACTCTGATCCTCAAAACTATCGCCTTATCAGCCTCCTCGAAACTTAAGGCAAACTCTTTGAAAAGCTCATTAACCTACGGAGATACCTGGAACACAACTCTCTCCTCACTGATGGCCCAGTTTGGCTTCAGATCACGTCGTTCCATACCAGATGCCATTAACGTCATTCTCAACCACATTCACATAAACACTAAACAAGGAAACAGGACAGCCCTGGTTGCAAAAGACGTCGAAGAAGCTTTTGACACTGTCTGGCACGAAGGGCTCAAGAAAAAACTCTGTTCTAACTTTAACCTGCCTCTCACTACTCGTAAACTCCTTTGTAACTTCTTAGATGGCCGCACCATGAAGATTAGATTCCAAGGCTGTTGTTACTCAGGCTATTTTACATTAAACGCTGGAGTGCCCCAGGGAGCTGTCCTCTCTCCTGCCCTCTGTATTTTATACACTAACGACATACCAACACCTGTATATCACACCATCACTCTAGCCTGTGCAGACGACATTACACAGCTCATCACTCACTACAGTACAGATACACTCACACACAAAACACAAAATGAGGTCGACAGGATAGCCTTCTGGGAACAAAAATGGAGGATCAAATCCACTGCTGCAAAATCCAGCATTACGTATTTTAACTACAGGAAACGTGATCCTCCATTACCTGTCAAGCTTAGAACAGCTAACACCTGCACTTACTTCCACATCACAACGTCTACCACTGTCCTCGGGGTCAATCTTGACCACCTTCATAAACACACACATCCACTCACAGCATGCCATAGCAGGTAAAGCCCTTACAGGTTTCGACAAACTATGGTATGCCTCACAACGTACCAAACTACACCTCTACAAAACTCTTACATGGCCTGTGACTAATGATTCTCCTCTAGCCTCTCTTGCAGCTAAGACCAAAACACTTAAACTGCAGTGTATCCAGAACAATGCTCTGCGCTGGGCGTTTGATGTCAGCTGGGATGACTTCGCCACAAGCAGTCAAGTCAAACAGCCCTGCGCTGAACGTGTACTGGAAGACGCTCACTGACAGATTCAGAAACTCGAGACACTACGTGACTACTGGACCTCTCACCTTGACAAAGACATTCCCAGACCTGCTACCTCACACAATCTATTCTACTCCTTTTATGCCTCTGCTCCTAACCTAATCTATAGATAACTTTTGCTCTCACTAACCTGTCCTAACAGTCGTGAACCTTAACAGATGTACCTTTTAAAAATCCCATCCCCTCCTTTCATCACCAATGGATTTTCTCACAGGTACCTGAGCAGTGTTCGTTTTGGCGTGCACCAAATCTCTTTTGCCATATCAGTCCTCCTCGCGAAGCTAGTTTCTGACCCACGATTGTATTAGCTACTGGGTTAAGCCCTGTACTGTCCCTTCCACTCATAACCTTTCTTTCACCAACCTGCTCTTCCACTATCCCTAATTCCCCGCTCACCCCACAAGGGTCTTACCTATACTCTCCTGATGTTCATCTTGACCACTGCCACACCATCTACCACCGTCTGAGTGGCTACTTGACCACTGCCACACCATCTACCACTGTCTGAGTGGCTACTTGACCACTGCCACACCATCTACCACTGTCTGAGTGGCTACTTGACCACTGCCACACCATCTACCACTCTCTGAGTGGCTACTTGATCACTGCCACACCATCTACCACCCTCTGAGTGGCTACTTGATCACTGCCACACATTCTTACCACCCTCGGAGTGGCTACTTGACCACTGCCACACCCATCTACCATTATGAGTGGCTACTTGATCACTGCACACCATTACCACTTGTTTGAGTGGCCTTACTTGATCACTGCCAAACCATCTACCTCCCTCTGAGTTGGCTACTTGATCACTGCCACACCTTCTCCACTGTCTGTGTGGCTTACTTGATCACTGCCTCACCATCTAACCAGGTTTGAGTGGCAACTTGATCACTGCCACACCATCTACCACCGTCTGTGTGGCTATTGATCACTGCCACACCATCTACCACTGTCTGAGTGGCTACTTGATCACTGCACACCATCTACCACTGTCTGTGTGGCTACTTGAATCCTGCCACACCATCTACACTGTCTTGGG